CAGGCAGTGTTCAGGGAATGGGGTGCTCACCGGATCACTAGAAAGTCCCGGCTAACCCAGGGGCCCCCTTGGCTGCGTTCAAAGTCACCACCTCGGACCGGACTGCGGGGGAAAGGCTCTCTGCCCCCATGACAGTGTGCAGGCTGCAGCCACAGGCTGTTTCGAGGAGGGTGATTCTTCGTGGTTGAGAAAGTGGGGCCCCTGACTTCATGGTAGGAAGGGGAGCAGGGCAGGCGGTGGAGGCGGGGTGCAGCGTGGGGCCCCCCACCTCCGGTTAGGCGCCCACGTGTCTCTGAAGGTATTCTGTCCCTGCCGCTCACGCCCCCTCGCCCGTCACCAGGAGTGTCCGAGTCCCCATCTCAAACCCACTCTTCTCCTGGAAAGTTTCTTAGAAGCTGTTTCTGAGAAATCTTAGAGGAGGAACCGGCCCCTAGGTGAAGGGCTGCAGATTAACGGCCTGTTGGTCTCTGAAGTCTTCAGGGGCACCTCGTGGGACGGAGGCTGGGAGTGGGTGTGGCGTTCTGGGGCCACCGGCAGGGGCTGTGGGTGTGGTGTGTGAAGGGCTCTGGTTTCCAAACCACCCTGGGGGTGAGGAGGGAGCCCCACAGCGGGGCTTGGGGTTTCACCCCCGTCTCACCCAGAAAGCTCGGCTCAGCTCTGGCTTCTCCCTGAGCGTGAGACCCACTTTCCAGAGCATGTGAAACCCACTGTTAACGGCAGCTGCTCCCCAGAAACGTGTGAACCGCGCCAGCCCCTGCCCCTCCCCGGGCCTCGGTTTGCCCATCTGTACAGTGGGCTGCGGAGCAGGTACAGTTGCGGCTGCACAGCCCCTTCCAGCCGGGAGGCAGTGAGCCTTTGATGATGCCCATGCAGATCGTGTAGCTGACGAGGCAGAGCCCTTGCAGCAGAGAGGTGGGAAGGGGTGGGTGACATTTGAGAAAAACAACCCCGTCCGCCCTGGGTGTCCTGTTCAGGACCCACCCCGAGCCTCCCGCACACCCGGGTTCAAGAACGAGCTGACAGGCCATTTTACCATCCCAGGGAGGTCTCTCCGGGCTCCGGGCTGTCTGGGAACCAGACTGGGAGGGCCCGGTGCCCCCTCCTGCACTGGGTGCCCCACATCCTGCCCAGCCACGGGGGAGCCAGTGGCAGGGCGCACACGTGCTCACCGCCTTCTGGGTGGCTGCGCAGAGGCACGGTGTGGTTTGCAGTATTTTTAGTTTGTTGTTTTTGCAGAAGCCAAGGGAAGTGTGTAACAGGCTGAACTCCGCGCTGCCCTCCCTGCGGATGGCCAAGCTGCTCAGCCTCCGCGGGGGGCAACGGGGCTCAGCCGGGAGGGGCCCCCTCCCAGCACAGGCTCCAGAGGGCAGAGGGGGCCGGGCGGCCCTGGGCGGGGCTGGTGTGAAGATTGTTAGTGAAATCGTCCGATTTTCCACATGAGGACCCTGAGGCCCGGCACGGACCGAGGCCCCCACCTTCCACTGTGCACAACCCAGCGTGAACCTCCGCTCCTGTGTTGGGAGCACTTGTCGCTGCCTCTGCCCACAGGGACGGAGTGGGCAGTGTAGGCTCACAGTTGTTCGTGTGGGAGACAATGGAATAATAATAATAATAGTAATAATACGAGAGTAACTCAGTTTTGCACACTCACAGCTGTAAACCTACTGCTCCCGCCGTCTGTGTCGGTTCGGTGCCTGTCTGGCCCCCAGGCTGGGCGTGCTGGGGGGTGGAGGGATGTGCTTTGGGAGTTAAGATCCCCAGGTTCTAGTCTTGGTGCCACCGGAGACTCGTTTGCCACCTTGGGCGGGTCACCTCTCCTCCCTGAGCCTCGGGTTCCCCAAGGGGCAAAGGCAGCGCCCCTAGGTCCCTCCGTGATGCTGAAACGCCCGGCCCTTTGCCTCCCAGCCGCCCTGCCGCTCTCACCTCTCCCTGATCTGGGACCTGTGGCTGCCGGGCCAGGAACCTGTCTGGGCCCAGAAGGCGTCATTAAGTCTTCCATTAACTGAACCCCATTCGGCTGGAAAAATAATAACCGGAGAGCAGGTCTGCCTGGTTCCCGGCCGGCGAGCGCCTGGAAGTTTGCCATGGGGAACACTCACAGAGCTCCTTCCCCCTGGACTCAGCCCGCCTGCCCGCCTCCTCCCCGAGGAACAGGCGGCCGCCCGGTGGTCGACCAGCGAGCCCCTCTTCTGTCAGCACCACTGGGCCTGTCTGTGTGCCCAGGAAGCAGCCCCCGGGCGGGGCCAGGCCGAGGGCGCAGTGCCAGGGATGCCGAACTGAATAAGACACAGTCTGTACCCTCCACGGTCGGGCTCACCCCGGCCGCATTCTCCCCTTGGCCGAAATCCAGAGAGTTCTTGCTGCGCTCACTCTCCAGCCATAAAAATGCAAATGTCAAGACACTTTCACCTCTCTCTGTTTTCTGTTTTCCCCAGTGCCTGCCCCAGATTCACTGGTTTAATATGTTCTATGTTTACTAACCAAAGCTAATGTCCCTGTTAAAATCAAATCAGATTTCCTTCTGGCCCAGTTCGCGGAACACATCGGAGTCTCCTGTGAATTCTGGGGAAGTGGGGGGCGGGGGGAGAACAGGGAAGTTCCTGGGGAAGGTGGCACGTGGGACGTGAGGTTCACCAGCTGGGACAGAAAGGTCACTCGATCGGCAAGGACCTTGTCTTGATAGTAACATCCGTCAACATGTGGGAAACAGGACAGAAAAGGTGTTCCATCCGGGATTCACTTTTTTCTCACTTAAGTTCGCCTGTTAGTGTTTCACGGCGTTGGCAGAAGGCATGAGACTCCTGGGTCACAGACCAGGGATTTGATCCCTCACGGCACAGCCGGCAGCATGAGCTTCAGGTTTGTGTCGGCTTCCTCCTTGCCCCGGAGTCCTCGGGGCCCAGCCACGGCGCCCAGACAGATGCCGGCACATGTGATGGGTTGCAACATAGACCAGGGACACTGAGCTGGGGGAATCCATCGTGTGCAGCGAACCGAAAGCAAGCCTTTCCCTCATGTTTCATGACTTCTTGCTGTAAACACAGCCCTAAACAGTGATCCTGGTGAAGACCATTCGGGGCCTTGGATTCTTAGCTCACCCGAGAGTGCGAAGGGCTGGGAGACCCTCGGGGGAGCAGCTCCGGCACTCGGTCGGCCGGCACCGAAGGGGTCTGGGTTTGAATCCCAGGCCGAACCCCTACTCACTGTGAGGTGAGGCAGATTACGGCATCTGGACTTCTCTTAGCCTCCGTTTGCTCATCTGTAAAGTGGGACGATACCTCCCTTTCCGGTGATTATTAGAGAATATGGAAGTTCACTCTGCCAGCAGCCCAGCGGAGAACAGGAGACCATCTCTGAGCTCAGGGAGCCGCGTTGCACCGAGAATCTTTTCGGCTGCGCGCGAATATATGTGGGAAAGTCACTCTGCCAGCAGCCCAGCAGAGAACAGGAGACCGTCTCTGAGCTCAGGGAGCCGCGTTGCAACGGAGAATCTTTTCGGCTGCGCGCGAATATATGTGGGAAAAAGAAGCAGGGGAAGTGCAGGGAGGGGTTGCTCATTGTGAATCGGGTACAAAAGCTTCAGGGGAAGTCTCTCTTCCGAGGTGTGGCCCGGCGACCTGGCATCCCGAGTTAAGTAAAGAACATCGCACTATCTGTGTGCAAAGCATTCTGGGTGAAGCTGGAAGCCTGTGCCCAGGTCCCGTGGTTGTCATGCGTGAGGCCGGTGTCGCTGGAGCAGAGAAAGCAAAGGCGTAGAAAATGGAGTCAGACAGGAGGCAGGACCAGCTCTTGCAGGCTCCTGCAGACCGTGGCCAGGACCTTGGATTTCAATCCAGGCGTGGAGAAAACCCACTGGAGATTTGAGCAGCGAGGGCAGAGCAGAGAACAGTGTGGAGAGGGCATGGGAAGGGGGAGGTGGTGGGCTCCGGCCAGGGCTCCTGCTGTGGGACCAGCTCAGGCTGAGACTCAGAGGTGGACACTTCCCCTGAAGAGCTGGGGCTCCTCGGGCTTCACTCCTTACAAAGTGTATGGCCCTGGGCCTCCATGTTCCCATCTGTAAAATGGGCATATTAGTCAATTCCGTGAGTTCACGGGACTAACGCCCTTAGACATGCTCCGAGAGCTTCCCTCGGGGCTGAGTACACACGGGGACGGCCACTCTCATGGGTTAGTACAGAGGGGGAGCCGGCAGTCCACCGGCCCTCACCCAGGCCAGAGCTCTCACTGTGGCCTGCGTTCGCTGGTGCTCCTCTGCACGTGTACTTGTCTGTCTGTTTGTACACAAGGGCCGTGCGTGGTGTGGCGTGGTCAGGTTGCTTGTCCAAGATCACACAGCTCCTCAGCGCTGGAACTGTAGCCCCCTCCCCCATCCTCTTCCCAGTGTACACCTGGACCTGCGTCAGCTGCCTTCATCCACTGCTGACCCCATGGTGACCCCGAGCAGGTCCTTGCGCCTGCCCGACCCTCTGTCCTGTAAGCACTAGGTGATGAGCCCCTGTACCTGCTAATGACACGAGGTGGGAGGCGGCTGGGGTGGGGTTCTGAATGGTCTATTTTTGTCATGGTTTCTGCACCCCCACATCGTGGCCGTCCCCCTTTTTTCCCCTGGGGCAGCTGTCAGCCTGGGCGCGCCAGCACGGGCCTCCCTAAATTCCTGACCACATTTCACGCTTCAAGTGCTGCCTGGATGTCTGCATGCAGCGCCCCCAGGCCACACACACGAGGAGATTGGTGGATTTAAATTCCTTTTGTGCGACTCAGAACCTGAGGACGTCTCCAGCTCCTGTCACAGGACCCTGATCCCCGTTAATCGTGTGTTAATCGTGTTTCCTCGGGGCGCTCCTCCAAACCGCCTGACCTGAGCCTCATTGTGCTGTCAGAACCTTTATTTTCCCTCCAGCTCCTCGCACAGGAGCCAGCGAGAGGGGCCAGGTGAGGAGAGAAGGGTTTGCAAGCCCAAGACAGGCTCTTCCCAAGCCGCCAGCAGGTGTGGGGGCGTGGCAGACAGTCAAGTCTGCGCAGGAAGGAGTGGGGACACTGAGGCCCCAAAGGAGGCGGGCCCGACTCCAGGGGTGTCTGTGCACCCCCTCCAGTCCAGCTTCGGTGCCATCACCATCTGCTGTTCACGGACTGTCAGTGGCTCCCCATTGCCTTCACCCCAGCGTGCCCATTCCTACAGGCTTCCCTGACCTGCCCTCACCCACCGCGGCCGCTCTGAAGGGCACCTTCCTTTTCGTAACTGTGCCAGGCGCCCCCATCCCCAGTGCCGCCACCTGGACTTTGGGGAGCTGCCCGGTTCACCCCATTCCCTCTCCCATCACTGTCAAAGCCCCCGTCTCCACGGCCACCTCCACTGAGCCTTCTCTCTCCCTGCAGTTGTCACCTGCTTGCCACTGTTGTATCTCCAGGGCCCTTGGCGTTCCCTCTGGAGCTGGTCCCTGGCCAGCAGGGATGACAGGTGCGAACTGCCACGCCCCCTCTCGGGCTCTCTCACCCGGGTGGGCTTCTCTCCGACGCTCTTTTCCGGAGGGTCCTGTGTGGCTGCAGCTGTAGCTGGTCCTTCCCGAGCCGGGAGGAGGGAGGCAGGGCCCGTCCATTCGGGTCTGAGCTGCAGGAGCACAGAGACCAGCTCCGGGGTGACTCAGCGGGGCTCGGGGTGACTCAGCGGGTGGGGCTCAGCTGGAGAGGGCACCGGATGAGGAGAGGAGGGCTCACCCTGGGCCATGCCAGGCCCTCAGCTGGGCCGCACGCAAACCCCGTGCAGGGCTCATGCCCCCGTCTTCGCGTGAGGATGGTCCCCGTCCCTCTCCCAACCCTCAGAGGCCAGGCTCAGGGCAGGGACAAGCCCCACGGGACACCCTCGCTGGGCCCCGCCTGGGCTGGAGTTCCGGCTCCTTGGCAGGTCTCTGGCTGCTGGGCCTCTGTGGCCGCCTCTGAAAGATAGAGATAAAACCCAGCACCAGCCGGCGATTGTCCTGGGCCCCAGCAGTGTGACCAGAACAATGGCTGGCAGAGAGAGAGCCTCCATGAGGCGTCTGTCCTTCCCGTAGCAGATGGATGGATTAACCCTGCTCTGCGTGGCCGCCTCAGAGGCAGGGACGCTTTTAACCTCCATTGTCCAGATGAGGGATGGGACATCCCTAAGGGCACCCACCCCTGGCTGCAGCGGGCCCCCCTCCAGCTCTGCCTGCCTCTCGTTCCCTCTCAGCCCACGTGCCTGCCTGGCTCCTTCCCTGGGGAAGCGCCACGCCAGGGCGGCTTCACATCTCTTGGAGTTTGGGGCCCGCTCTCCTCTCAGCTCTGGCAGCCCTCTGGCCGTGTGTCCTTGGAAGTCTCTTCCTCTTTCTGAGCTCAGCCTCCACATCTGTCAATCAAGTGGGGCAGAAAGGGTGGGCGGGGGTGTTCATGGGCACCCCGTGCTCGAGGGAAGAGGGAAACCACTGGAAGGAGTTCGTAAGGAAACCCGACATTCAGGGCACTCGCGACGTGCCAGGCACCTCAATGCTTCCCCCGCACGGACTCGGGTCAGACGCGGGTCCTTGGCACAGCGCAGCGAGGCCGGTGCCATGTCTCGGGCGGCCTCACGAGGCGGGGGAGGCAAACACAGCAGATAAGAAGCCGAGTGCAGGACGTCCAGGTCAGCCGAAACCCGAGATCGGAGAACCCAGCCCCGCGGGAGGACAGGGGAGACTCATTGTGCTGCACCTCGCTTTTCTCTGAAGGCGTCTGCCAGGACGTAAGGTGCTTGGATCCGGAGCCTAAGAACCAAGCCAAACGCAGCTGCCTCGAGGCTCAAAGCCTAGACGGAGCTTTTGGCCATCTCCCAGGGTGGCAGGGGAGATAAGAGAGAGAGATCACAGCGGGCAAGGAAGAGGCTCCTTGGTAGGCATCCCAGCCATGCGCTGAGAAGGGCGCTGAGAAGGGCGCTGAGAAGGGCTGGGCCTTCTCAGTGAGCACAAACCCGAAATACCCCGTCATCCCCAGGGACTAAGGTGCAGGCCCAATCATCCTGACCATCACGGGGACCAAGGTCACGTGCCCCTGCTCTCCCTGCCCGCCAGGCGGAAAAGGCTTCCTCCGGAATAAGGACCGCCGCAGCCAGAGCCTCTGCATGTTTGCCCTACACCGTGCCCGCATGTACCACGCCAAGGCCAGACCACATGGCCAAAGAGAGAAAACAGACGGTAGAAACAGACCCACAAGTTACCCCAATGTCACAGGCATAGACGCAGACTTTAAAATAACCTGTGGTAGTTAATTGCAGGAAGATAGATGACAAGATGGGGAATTTCACCGGAAAACTACCACTTAAACAAAGAGTACTCAGGTGGAAATGCTAGGCCTGAAAGATACAAGAACTGACATGGATGTAATATATGATTCAGACGCACCGGACACAGCAGAAGAGAGGATGCACGCGGCAGTACCTACCTCAAGAAGTTGGAAAGACAACAGATTTCAAACCCAAAAAGAAACGTCAAGAGAGCAGATAACAGAGAGAGCAGGGATTGGTGGAATAGAAGGGTTCGCCATGGTGACGTCGAGACCCAGGAGGAGGCAGAGGGGCGGGTCAGAGTGTGGGCTCAGCCCCCACCTCCCTGTGTGATCTTGCACAGGCCACTTGCCGTCTCTGGATCTCAGTTTGCCATTTCAGGGGAAGGGGCATGAATACCCGTTTGGCCCAGCTGATGTGAGGATGACAGGGGGAAGACCCAGGAGGAGGCAGAGGGGCGGGTCAGAGTATGGGCTCAGCCCCCACCTCCCTGTGTGATCTTGCACAAGCCGCTTGGATCTCAGTTTGCCATTTCAGGGGAAGGGGCATGAGTACCCGTTTGGCCCAGCTGATGTGAGGATGACAGGGGGGGCAGTGGTGACGGCCCTGTATTACAAGTGCTCGCGTTACTGCCGGTCGGCAGTGTTCGCTCAGTCATTTCACCGGCACCCGTGGTGCAGGGGGCTTCACGCGGAGCTGGGAGGGCGACTGTAGGTTTTCCAAGTACAGTGGGGCCTTGACTTACGAGTGTCCCGACTAACGAGTTTTTTGAGATACCAGCTGTCTCTCGGCCGATTTTTTGCATTGAGTTGATAGAGTAATTTGAGTTAATGAGCTCCTTAACGAGCTTGGTCTCGGAACGAATTAGACTGGTAAGTCAAGGCCCCACTGTATTTGAAACAATTCTTTTTTAAAATATATACATATATATGTATATTTACATATGTGTGTGTATGTGTTTATTGATTTCAGAAAGACGAAGGGAGAGGGAGAGAGAGATAGAAACACCAATGATGAGAGAGGATCATTGATCCGCTGCCTCCTGCACACCTCCCACTGGGGATGGAGCCCGCAACCTGGGCATGTGCCCTGACCGGGAATCGAACAGTGACCTTCTGGCTGAGGGGTGGACACTCAGCCACGGAGCCATGCCTGCTGCGCTGAAACAGTTCTCCTAGTGGCAGCTCATTGCCGCCCTCTCTCTGTCACCACTGATCGCTGCTGCAGACGGACAGGGAGCCCCCCCACCCCTCTTTGTTTGGGGAGGCGTGGCTCACTTGGCAGCAGAGAACTTGGCCCGTGGAGTCTTGGCCCAAGTTCCATGCCAGGGAGCCAGGGCTGGCGCTCCCCGTGTGTGGCGGGCTGCCCCGCTTAATAGAGAACAGGGAAGTCACGCACGCCTCCTTTCTTCCCTGGGGCCCGGGGCGGGGTGCAGGGGCGTTCTTGCTTTTCCACTGTAGTTCTTTCCAGGGCTTTCGAAAGCGCTAATTGTTACCAGCCCAGGCGCCTCTGTTGGTGGGTGGGAGCCCAGCGGGCACCCCGGCCTGGGAGATGGTGCCACTGGGTCGTGCCGGATGGAGGGAGGAGGGTGTCGCCATGCTCCTCCAAGCCCCCCCCCCCCGCCCTGATTCTGCAGCTCAGCCTCACCCTCCGTCTCCTTCCGCCCCAGTGTCCGCTGCGAGCATCTGTATCACACGGCAGCCACGAGGTGGCGGGAACCCGCCCATCATCCCGTCTCATTCCCTCAGTGCCAGCACGCTCACAGGCATCTGTTTAAGTGAACTTGTCTCAGCCCTCGGTGTTGGGACACAGGGTCCTGCTCATTACCACGGCCTATGCAGGGAGACCCTGTCACTCACTGCTCAGCTCAGCCCTGCAGTGGCTCCGTCCCTCAGAGAAAGCCTGGTCTCGGGAATGGCTTCCCTCTCCCCAAATACACACCTGCTCCCCCTCCCCCACCGACCAGGCCCACCAGCCTCCTTTCTCCCAAAGGCCTGGGCCTTCCAGATGCTCAGGGAGCTCCCACCTTAGAATCATTTATGCTGGATCTCAACCTCCTAACCCAGCGCCCAGCCCAGCACGGGGCCCAGCACGTGCGCTGTGAGTGGCTGCTTGATTGACAGCTCCGAGAGTGAGCAGAATCTCTCTTATCAGCCCCTTTTCCAGGTAAAGGAATGGCCCAGAGAGGTTAGGTAGCTTCTTCACAGTCACACAGCACACAGGCGGAATCCTCGGGCGTAGTCCGTGCTTTCTCGCTCAGATCTCTGAATTGCCAGCCCTTGCCTTTCCCTCATTCGCGTCTGCATTCCTCGATGCCACGGTGTGCCAGGGGATAGGGCCACCGAGAGTGAGGCCGAGTTCCTGTCCTCCTGGAGCCCCCCGCCGGGAGGAAGGAGGCAGATGCGGAAACAGAGCAGGCCGAATGGAGCCAGGACTCTGCGGATGCCAGGACTGGACAGGCCTCCCCTTGGGCGTCAGCGCCAGCTCAGGCCTGAAGAATGAGTGAGACCCAAGCAGGGTCGGGTGGCTGTTCTGGACAGCGGGGGGACAGCCTGGGCCGGAGCCCAGAGGCAGGAGCAAGTGTGGTCTGAGGCTCAGTTGTGTTGCTTCAAGTTGCAAGTAATCTGCTTTACACAATAAAGGGGATTTATTGTCTCATGTCCCTGAAAGGTCAGAGCGTAGGGTGGGCTGCAGGTGCGGCTGGATCAGGGATTTAATGCCTCCTGTCTGGTCCTGCCCAGCCATTCCCCCTGCGAGAAGCCCACACAATGACCAGCATGACCCTGACTTCCTCGTCCCAGCCTCACACAGACCAGAGCAAAAGGAAGCCGTGTCTTCCCTTCCTGCAAAAGTCAGGCGTTTCCCTCTGATTGGATGGGATTAGGGCGCTTTCTCATCCCTGGACCAGCTCCTATGGTAAGAGAGGTGGGCGCCCCCTGCTGGCCAGGTGAAAGCAGAGAGAGCCGGTCTTGGAAGGTTAATCTAGCTCAAGTGGACAGATTAACTGCTGCTTTTTATTTTTTTTAAATATATTTTTTATTGATTTCAGAGAGGAAGGGAGAGAGGGAGAGGGATAGAAACATCAATGATGAGAGAGAATCATTGACTGGCCGCCTCCTGCACGCCCCACACTGGGGATCGAGCCTGCAGCCCGGGCATGTGCCCTTGATCGGAACTGAACCTGGGACCCTTCAGTCCTCAGGCCGACGCTCTGTCCATTGAGCCAGGATGTCATAACAAGGTAATAGAATTTCATCCTGTTTTTATTCCTCCTTCTCTGGGCAGATGACAGACAACTCTCGGTGCCTGTGTCAAGCCCACTGCCTGCAGCCACGACTCTGATGGCCGTGTGGTCAGACTGAGCTCTGACGGCATCAGCACACACATCCTCCCCGGAGGACAGCGACAAAGAGGCCTCCTGGTCCCACACCGTGACCCTGCCTTCCCGGTCCTCCCCCCGGCGGGACCGGACACCGTCAGAGACTCATCGCCCCTCCACCCCTTTGGACGGGAAAGGCGATCGCTGGTCTTACGTTTGATTAACGCTTCATGGAGAGACATCATCAGCTGTTCGAGGATCGCGGATGAGGCCGGCTCCTTTATTTTCTGCAAGAGACAGATTTGCTGCAAGAAGAGTCATCCCGCCCCCCTGAGCGGCCCCCTTAGCCTTCGCGTGTCCCAGGGTGATGTCCGGTGCCCGAGGGTGACCGTCGCCAGGCGGAAGTGAAGTTGACCAGAGCGAGCCTTGCGAGCCCCCGGACATCCACGCCTCGCCTTGTGCATGAGCCTCCATCTCTGGGATTTTGCTTCCAAGTCCCTCCTGAGTGGGGCGTGATTTCCTGCAGCTCATCGCCGGGGAGTCTCGTGGGGAGAGCAGCCATGGTGACCCTGAGGAGAAGGACCCTCAAAGTGCTCACCCTCCTCGTCCTCTTCGTCTTCCTCACCTCCTTCCTCCTGAGCTACTCGCACACCGTGGCGACCACCACCTGGCTCCCCAAGCAGCTGGTCCTGGAGCTCTCGGAGCGCTTCCGGAGGCTGGTGGCCTTCTCGCGCCCGCCCTGCACCTGCGCCCGCTGCGTCGGCCAGCAGGGGGTCTCGGCCTGGTTCGACGAGAGGTTCAACCGGTCCATGCAGCCGCTGCTGACCGCGAAGAACGCGTTCTTGGACGAAGACACCTACACATGGTGGCTGGTGAGTGCACCGGCCGAGTTGTGGGGTGAGGAGGGGGTCCCAGCACCTGAGTACACACCCCTGGGGCCCTGCCAGGTGCTTTGCAGGAATCGCAATATTGGCCATTCATTCATTCATTCAAAAACTACTGCCCTCGCTGGTTTGGCTCAGTGGATAGAGCATCGGCATGTGGACTGAAGGGTCCCGGGTTCGATTCCGGGCAAGGGCACGTAGCTGGGTTGCAGGCTCAATCCCCGGCCCTGGTGCAGAGGCCACCAATCAATGTGTCTCTCTCACATCGATGTTTCTCTCTGTCTCTCCCCCTTCTATCCACTCTCTCTAAAAATCAATGGAAAAATATCCTCAGGTGAGGATTAAAACACACACAAAACCTACTTGTTGAGGACGTGCTATATATAAATGAGAACAGAGGGTTCTCTGTGGACACTGTGGTCCCGAACACTTCGAAATGCTGGGGCGCACAGGGGCCCCTCCCGGTGGGGATCTCCGAGGGAGTTCCTCCTGGGGAGCTTGGCTGCGGCCACTCCCCCCGGGGTTTTCAGGGAGTGAGCCCCAGCCGGCAGTGGCAGCCCCGTGGCCTGGGAGCCTGTCGGACTGGCAGGATGTGGGCCCAGCCCTGCCCGGCCGCGTCAGGATGCACACGGTCGCCAGGTCTCGTGTGGTTGCCTGTGGAGGAGCTTGGAGCTGCCCCAGGAGGTCTGAGCAGAAGCGGGTGCTTAATCCTGGATGATGGTTTCCCTCTGATGGTTATGAACTAATACTCATCCTCTGGACCACCTACCCGTGCACATCTCAGTGGCATTGCATACATCACAGTGTCATGTAACCATCACCCTTCTGCACCCAGCACTTTCCCAGCATCCCCTCCCACACTCTGTACCTAACTCCCCTCCCCCGGCCCCAGCCCCCTAGACCCTGGCAGCCCCCGTTCCACTCTCTGCCTATGAATTTGACTCCTTGGAGCCTCAGGTCGTGGGAGGGACCCACGGAATTTGTCCTCTGTCTTGGCATCTTTTCAGGGTCCACTCATGCTGTAGCGTGTATCCAAACATCCCTTTTCTATGGCTGAGTGATATTCTATTGTATGCATACTCCACATTTTATTTTGTTTTTTAAAGTATATTTTTACTGATTTCAGAGAGAGGAAGGGAGAGGGAGAGAGAGATAGAAACATCAATGATGAGAGAGAATCATGGATGGGCTGCCTCCTGCACGCCCTGCACTGGGGATCCAGCCTACAACCCGGGCAAGGAGTCGAACCATGACCTCCTGGTTCACAGGTTGACACTCAACCACTGAGCCACAATGGCCGGCTGCGTGCTCCACATTTGCAAACCTATTCATCTGTCACTGGACATGGGGCAGAGGCCCGGTCCCCCTATGGCCCCCTCTCCGCCCTGGGCCCCCCCCCACGTCCCCGCCAGAGAGGCCGCGCAGCCAGGCCCACCTGTCTTCTGTCCTGCGCCCACAGACACTGCAGCGGGAGAAGCAGCCCCATGACCTGAATGACACCTTCAAGGAGCTGTTCCACGTGGTGCCCGGCAACGGGGACCCCCTGCTGGAGAGGAAGTCGGTGGGCTGCCGGCGCTGTGCCGTCGTGGGCAACTCGGGCAACCTGAGGGAGTCCTGGTACGGGCCTCACATCGACAGTCACGACTTCGTGCTGAGGTGAGTGGCCGGGCCTCGCCCAGGCGCACCTGTGCACCCCCAGACCCCCGGGGCTGAAGGCAGCTGGGCTCCGGGCCCGGAGGACCTCGGGGCCTCAGTGTCCCCATCTGGGCTGCAGGATGGAGACAGGCGCAGGTGCCTCTCTGGATGCAGGGGGCGGAGCTTGGCGCCGAGAGCCCTGGCGAGACGGCAAGATTCACTTGCAGAGTCCCGTTTGATCTTTGAAATGCATCCCGTTTTGTAGCCTGTGTGCTTTTCATGTAAAGCCTCTTTTCCTGTCACCAAGTGAACAGATGTTCCAGGAAGACGCCCCACGTCTCTCTGGGTTCCTTGTAACCTCCATGCCCTCAGCCCAGAGCGAGAAACAACAGCAGCGAGGGGGTGTGGGGGAGGGGTTGGTGATCCCCAGGTGCCTTCTAGAATCTTCCATCCCTGTGATCTCTGGCTGTATGTCCTTAGGCCACTCACCTGGCCTCCCGGAGCCTCAGTGTACACCTGGCTCACTGGGGCCGTCCATGGTTAGGGGGACAGTCAGGTTCAGGGTCCGACAGACCGGAGTCCGGGGCTGCCGGTGGTGGCTGTGTGTCCTGGGCCCCGTCCTCTGTGCTCAGATTTCTTGGACCATAAAATACCGCTGGACACGACCGTCACTGCAGTTTCACCAGGGGCGTCCCTGGGCCAGGGCAGGGCCTCGCGCTCACTAGTAGCAGGTGGTCAGTGGCGCGGTGACGCGGCGCTCTTGAGATCCCCAAAGAGGAAAACCCCGCAGATCCCCCGAACCGTGTGCTCGCTGTCCCCACTTCACAGAGGAGGAGGCCGCGGAGTTGAGCGCTGGCCCGAGGTCCCAGCGGGCCCCCGGGATCTGGGACTGTGTGAGCCATGCGTGTTCTTCTCTCCCTTCTCCTCCAGGATGAACAAGGCCCCCACCACGGGGTTCGAGGCCGACGTGGGGAGCAAGACCACCCACCATTTCGTGTACCCCGAGAGCTTCCGGGAGCTGGCCGAGAACGTCAGCATGGTGCTGGTCCCCTTCAAGACCCTGGACCTGGAGTGGGTGGTCAGCGCCACCACCACGGGCACCATCTCCCAGTAGGTCCCCCCGGGGCGTCGGATGGAGGGCCCCTTGCCTGGCCCCTCGCTGTTCCTCTTCACCATGTGGGTGCCTCCTGGCCGCCCACCGTGCTGTTCCCTGCACCTCAGCCTGGCTCATGCTGTTCCCTGCAGTGCGTCCTTTCGCGCACTTCCTCCTGGGATGCACCCGCCCCACAGCCCACAGGCCACCTCTGACCCTCGGCTCTCCCGGCCCCTCACCTCCCATCGCCCTAACACACCCCGGACTTCCACCTTTTCCTCCTCTTGACCCCCAAGTGGACCACACGCTGTGCTTCCCCAAACCTGGCAACTCCTGGGGAAGGGGCTGCTGGAAAGGGCCCAGCGCATTTTAGCTCCGACCCCTCACCTCCGAGTGCTCCTCGTGGTGACAGCCATCTGCCTCCAAACCATAAATGGCGCTGGGTGGGCTGGGGCGCAGCTGGGAGGAGGGGTGCCGAGCATGTCGGCTGGGGCGTGAGTCATCCTTCGTGTGCGCACATCTTCCCGACACCACACGCACGGGGCACGTGGCGTCTGACCGAAGCGTCACAGTTGTCGTGATCATGCCTCCCTTCCGCCAGGGAGGGCGCGAGGCTGGCCAGGCAACATGTTCGGGGTGGGACGCTGGCCAGGGCCAGGCTCATGCCTGTCCCCTTCCCAAGTCCCTTCTGTTCCCGAAGAGAAGTGGTTCCGTGTCCAGGTGGCCAAGCCTGTGTGAGGCCCAGTGTGGACATTGCAGGATGGGTGGGGGGCGGGGGGATGCTGTGGCCTCAGGAGAAGGCAGGGAGGGTTGGGAGCCTTAGATGATGCTGGAACAGGAGAAGGAGGGAGGGAGGGAGGGAGGGAGGGAGGGAGGAAGGAAGGGAGGAAGGAAGGGAGGCGCTCGGGCAGGGGAATTCCACCTGGTCCCTGGGTTCCCGAGTGTAAGTTGCGCCAGAGTCAGATCCAAAGTGAAGCCAGGGGCCTTCATCGTGGAGGCTCCTAGACACTCCTGGTGAAAAGGAGGCAGTGTGGGCCTCTTCAGCCGGCACCCCTGCCGTGGGGTAGGTGCTCTGGCCTCCATGGCGCCTTCAGGCTGTGTGTGTGTGTGTGTGGTGGGGGGGCTTGGAGCAAGTCCCCTAAACCTTTCTGGGAGAAGGCCCACAACACAGCAGAAGGTCCTTGAATGAGCCAAGATCGCCCTCTGGTGTCTGTAAGGGACCACTGCAGGGCTGTGGCAGGGGCCTGTGGCTGGGGGCCCCTGTGAAAGCGTATACCTGCTCAGCCTGGCCCAGCTTCCCTCTCCAGTCACCCACCTCCCCAGCTGCCAGTAGACAGCCCGGCCCCTCCCACATTGACCCTCTGCTCTTTCTCCCCAGCACCTACGTTCCTGTCCCCTCGAAGATCAAAGTGAAGAAGGATCAGGTGAGTGGCGGCTCAGGCTCACCTGTGATGCTCTGCCTGGTGGTAAGTGGTGGAGAGGGCACCCTCCCCTCCTCTGCCAGCATCTGGCCTCAGAGAGCCCTGGGCACTGGGCCGATGGAGTCCCTGCTGGAGGGACCGACCCTGGGACCCCAGGCCAGTAGCATCGCCTGGGAGACTCACAGATGCACCCCTCCCCGACCCCCTCCCCCACTCCAGATCTACCTGGGATTGTAGAAGGCCTCCAGGGGTGCCAAAGGGGCTGCAGTTTGAGAACTACTGTGTGAGCTTCTCAAAGCCAGACCTCACCTGTGTCTCTAGACCTCACCCATGTCTCCATCGTTTCCTGGTGTGAGGGTAGGCCAAAACCTGGGCAGAGGGCAGAAGGATGAAGACAGGGCAGTGGCAACCACCCTGATCCTTTGCCCACATGTTCTTATTTAAATACTAGTGCCTCAGTGCACAGATTCGTGCACATTGAAAAGAAATAGAAGGTGGCTGGCGGGGCAGGACTGGGCGAGATGGGTCGGACATGATGCCCTGGAGCCAGCCTCCGGAGGTCCCTCCCCGACCCGCCGCACCTGAGGCAGCGCTGTGGCTCAAAGGGTGTCTGCAAAGTGAGTGGGGTCCCTCTGGTAGGTGAGGTCCCTTGGCCTGGCCTGCAGGGATCAGGCCGAAACCAGCTTTCCAACATTCCCCAAGGGGCAGCCGGCACCCCTGCCGTGGGGTAGGTGCTCGGGTCTCTGTGGCGCTTTGAGTGTGTGTGTGTGTGTGTGGTGGGGGGGCTTGGAGCAAGTCCCCTAAACCTTTCTGGGAGAAGGCCCACAACACAGCAGAAGGTCCTTGAATGAGCCAAGATCGCCCTCTGGTGTCTGTAAGGGACCACTGCAGGGCTGTGGCAGGGGCCTGTGGCTGGGGGCCCCTGTGAAAGCGTATACCTGCTCAGCCTGGCCCAGCTTCCCTCTCCAGTCACCCCCCTCCCCAGCTGCCAGTAGACAGCCCGGCCCCTCCCACATTGACCCTCTGCTCTTTCTCCCCAGCACCTACGTTCCTGTCCCCTCGAAGATCAAAGTGAAGAAGGATCAGGTGAGTGGCGGCTCAGGCTCACCTGTGATGCTCTGCCTGGTGGTAAGTGGTGGAGAGGGCACCCTCCCCTCCTCTGCCAGCATCTGGCCTCAGAGAGCCCTGGGCACTGGGCCGATGGAGTCCCTGCTGGAGGGACCGACCCTGGGACCCCAGGCCAGTAGCATCACCTGGGAGACTCACAGATGCACCCCTCCCCGACCCCCTCCCCCACTCCAGATCTACCTGGGATTGTAGAAGGCCTCCAGGGGTGCCAAAGGGGCTGCAGTTTGAGAACTACTGTGTGAGCTTCTCAAAGCCAGACCTCACCTGTGTCTCTAGACCTCACCCATGTCTCCATCGTTTCCTGGTGTGAGGGTAGGCCAAAACCTGGGCAGAGGGCAGAAGGATGAAGACAGGGCAGTGGCAACCACCCTGATCCTTTGCCCACATGTTCTTATTTAAATACTAGTGCCTCAGTGCACAGATTCGTGCACATTGAAAAGAAATAGAAGGTGGCTGGCGGGGCAGGACTGGGCGAGATGGGTCGGACATGATGCCCTGGAGCCAGCCTCCGGAGGTCCCTCCCCGACCCGCCGCACCTGAGGCAGCGCTGTGGCTCAAAGGGTGTCTGCAAAGTGAGTGGGGTCCCTCTGGCAGGTGAGGTCCCTTGGCCTGGCCTGCAGGGATCAGGCCGAAACCAGCTTTCCAACATTCCCCAAGGGGTCCCGGATTGCGAGAGAGCAGTTCTTGGGTGACACATCCCGGAATCGGGCTCCCTCCTCCCAGGTTCTGGGATGCATCACCCGAGAACTGCTGCTGCCAAGTCACTGCAGCTCCACAGCTCCTGCGTTGAGCATCTGCCCCCTGGTGGTCAGTGCACGTCATAGCTACCAGTCAGACAGTCGCTTAGCCTTTTATATATATAGATATTTTTATTGATTTCAAAGAGTTAGGGAGAGGGAGAGAGCCAGAAAAATAAGTGATGAAAGAGAATCACTGGTCAGCTGCCTTCTGCACATCCCACACTGGGGATCAAGCCCACAGCCCAGGCATGTTCCCTGACCGGGAACTGAACCCTGACCTCCTAGTTCATAGGTCGACACTCAACCACTGAGCCATGCCGGCCAGGCCTGCATGCTCTTATTTAAATGGGAAGATCGGGGTCAGAGAGGTCAGGCAACTTGCCCAGGGACCCACAGCTGGTTTGGGGTCATGCAGAACTGGGGTCCTCCCCTGCCTGCAGCACCCACCAGCGTGGGGGGCGATACTGCTGCGGGGGAGGAGCCACTTGTGAATCCCATGGCAGGGAGGGCCTCCCAGGGAGGCAGTGGCTCAACGCCAGGCTATGAGCTGAAGGGGTCACCCGAGGTGAGCATAGGCCCCCCTCCAGACCTCTCGGGGTGGGGGGGGCGGTGTTGCATTTGGCTTCCTGCACACGCCTACCCTCTGCTACCTGGCAAGTCCCGTCACTGTCCTCAAAGCTGCCGTGAGTCGCGGCACCAAGGCCTTGCCTGATACCAGGACGCCCCCAGCTCGGCCACCGCTGGCTGTGTGGCCTTGAGCACGTCGCTAAGCCTCTCTGAGCCTCAGTTCCCTCATCTGTAGCAGGGGAAGGGGGAAAGCTAGCACATAAGGTCCTTTTAGGGACTGGGGACCATTTGTGCCCAGACCAGGGGGATGGGTGGCTCCGTGCATGAGTTCTCCTGCAGCCGCACCATCTTGCTCAGCCCCGGCCTCGTGTGATTATGAGAGTCACCTGCTCAGCGAACCTTCTCCCCCGGCCCAGGCCTTCCCTGCCTCTCTCGCTGTATTCCTCTCCCTGGTCCCAGAGTTCTTCCCCCGCATCTTCTGTCACTTCCCAAGTGAGGTTCCTGTCGGTCTTTTCCCGCTAGAATGCAGACCCCCTGGGTGCCGGGGCCTTGTTCCCATCATGTCTGTCCCTGTGGCCACAAGCGTGTGGCCCCTAGAGGCGGTGTGTCCTTCCCCAGCCGTCTCTCTGAGGGCCCTGTGCTCCCCCCACAGATCCTGATCTACCACCCGGCCTTCATCAAGTACGTCTTCGACAGCTGGCTGCAGGGCCACGGGCGCTACCCGTCCACCGGCATCCTCTCCGTCATCTTCTCCCTGCACATCTGTGACGAGGTACGCCCCTCCCCCGGGATCCCCGCTGGCCAAGACAGGCACCAGGGTCCCTCGTTCACTGTTCCCGAGAAGCCATGCGAGCATCTGTGGTTGGGCTGTTCTTGATCCTGACTCCAGCCCCTGAGAGAGCATCTGTGGTTGGCTGACCTTGATCCTGACCCCAGCCCCTGTGAGAGCATCTGTGGTTGGCTGACCTTGATCCTGCCCCAACCCCCAGGGGCTTGGAAGGCCTCTCTCAGGGGTGCTTTAAGGAGGAGAGGTGGTTTCCAAGAATCTTCCCAGGAGCACGTTCTGGCTCATTCTGTGTGAGCTCCCCAGGCAGAGCCAGGACCCATGGGTGGAAGCGCCGATTTGGGGGCGAAACAAAGGAGCCGTTGGCATAGGAGGCCTGTGTAAGCTGCTGCTCCCACCTCAGAGCTAGACCCCAGCTCTCCAGCCACACCCGCCCACTCCTGCCAGAATCTCTGAGTGGGAGCCAGGCACCCAGGGCTTCGACTGCCCCCAGGATTGACTGCCAGAGAGCCTGGGGAGTGTGCCCCACCCCCTGGAGCTCCTTCGACATCCGCCAGGTGGCGCCAGGTTTCCGTCCGTGACCTAGGCCAGGGGTGGGGACGTCTGGCCCATGGGCTGTATAAAGCCCAAGAAATCATTTGGTCTGGCCCTGCCCAGGCATTAGCGGTGAGTTAATGAAATGTTTGACCAAACAGAGGAGGCTAATTTTTAAGTTGATGATTCTGTATGGCCCACGAATGACGTTACAAACATCCAAAGGGCCCTTGGCAGGAAAAAGGCTCCCCACCCCTGATCGAGGCTGTTCCCTGCCTCCCAGGGCAGAGGAGCAGGAGGGGCCACAGGAGAAGGGCTCAGTAAACATTGGCCACAGGTAATGGCCCACCGCTGGCCAGGGAGGGCTCCTGGCAGATGGACATCAGCCTGAGGGAGGAAAGGACCCCCTGCCTCACCGTGGATGTCGCTCTTGGCCCCATTTTCCAGATGAGGAGAGTGAGGCTCAGAGAAGGGATGCAGCATTTGCAGGGTCCTCCAGGGGGTGGCAGGGCTGGGGGGTGGGGCAGCCTGGTCCCCACTCTGCTCCCTGCTCCTCTTCCCTGGCTCCCCCACCCTTGGAGAAGAGGTTGTACTGTCCCAGAGGTGAGACCCCGCTCCCTCAGGACCACCCATGTGCAGTCGCCTCCCCAAGCCTTCCCACATGAACTTGACTTTTACTCAACACCGCACCCCCGGGAGTCCCAGGAACCTAGAGAAGGGTTTCTGCGCTCCTGGGGAAGGGGTGCGCAGATGCCGGGATGCCTGCAGCTTCCTGTCCTGCAGGCTCTACCTGCCGCCCGCCGTCCAGCCCTGACCTTTGCTTGGCCCCCACAGGTGGACCTGTACGGCTTCGGGGCGGACAGCAGAGGGAACTGGCACCATTATTGGGAAAACAACCCGTCGGCGGGGGCTTTCCGCAAGACCGGGGTGCACGACGGAGACTTTGAGTCCAACGTGACCACCACCTTGGCGTCCATCCACAAAATCCGGATATTCAAGGGGAGATGACGCTGTGAAGGGTCGCGGACGGCCACGTCAGCGCAGCCTCCTCGCCAGGGCTGTTCCTTCCGTTCCGGGGGCTCCCAGGGCCAGCCTCTCGCACCCCAACATTTGACAGCATCTACTCAGCGATGTCACCGGGCTGCAGAGCAAGTCTGAGAGCCGGCGTGGGTGGGGCGACCCTCATGGCTCTCTCCGGCCGGAAAAGGTGGCGACGTGAGGGACGTCCATTCTCCGAGTACGGCCGGGAAGATGGGGGAGGAGGGGCAGATACTGAAGACCCCCCTGTTTTAAAAGAAAGGACATTTCCCAGGGAGGACGGGCAGAGACTGCTTTGCTGGGGGGCCCGGGGCTGACGCCAGACTCTGATTGTCGCTGGATGTTTCCGAGTGGGGGCGGCTCCGGACAGCCACGCGGGCCGTGTCGGCACAGGGGCCGGGCGTCACCTTCCTCGCACTTGGCAACCCCCACTCCCCCCTGTTCCCCGAACTCGTTCTGGTGGCAAGAGAGGCTCCCCTCGAAGGTCTTCACGCTCGGGCAGGCGTTTCCGAGTCCAGCAGACAGACGTCTTCTCCCCAAAACGATGTTCCCGCGAGGACCCATCTCGGTGGTTAAAATGATGGCCCCAGGGCAGGTCTGACCCCTTCTATGTGCCTTTGTATTCGGGGAGAAATGCATGCCCTGGCCAACATGAGGCCAGCACCCCGACTCGGGAAAGGAGACCTCCGCCGCCCCCTCGCTCTCAGCTGGGGACTCTTCCAGGTTCCTGAGCCGGCCCCGAGGTGGCACAGAGCTCAGGTGGCACCCGGGCCTCCCAGAGGCGCACCAGCCCTGGCACGTCTCTCACGTTCACAGACTGTCAGACTCCGTGCCCGTAACCGTCCAAGCCCCCGGGAGGGTCTCCACCAGCCAGCGTCTTCCCCAAGGGCCACGCTCGGGCCCGGTCCTGCTGGCCACCTGCATGGGGTCCCGGGGTGGGGTGGGGGCATCCTGGGAGCGTGGCCATCGGAGCGGGGCAGTCATACCTCATTCGCACACTCTTTCTTCCTCGTCACCCTCCTGATTATTTATTGATTGGTTGTTGTTGCATTCAGCTGACCTCGTGTGCATTTTCTGGCTCTTGCTGGTCCAGGTTCTAACTCACTTTCTCCTGCTCCACCCGGCCGCTGTGGGGTGGGTGGCTTCGGCAAGCTCTGTGGGTGTTCGGGTGCCTAGGGTTTGGGGCTCGCTGGTGGGCAAGTCCTGGGGTGTCAGGTCGGTGGGTGCGCAGAATGTCCTGTACCTCCTTCTCTCCCAGCCCAACTTCCTTGCGAATTTGGGTTCAGCCTCTGGCTGGGCGTCTCCCAAACCCAGGGGCACCTCCTCGGGGCGGGCGAGACGTGGGGTCCAGGCCTAGGAGGACCGCGACCGTTGGCTCCATTACTGACATGTCATCAGGAAAACCGTTTTTCCCGGAGAGAGCATTTCCCCGAAGGCCCCGCTGCTCCCGATGGCGTGTGAGGGACGTCGAGCTCGCAAGCCAGGGGACCTGCTCTCCTGGCCTCAGTTTCTCCCTCTGTACATGGGGAGGGAGGAACTGTGGGAGCTCAGGGGCCACAGATGGTGTCAGGCACCTCCTAAGAAAGAGTCCCGGGAATCTCACGCCATGGCTTCTCCTGAGTCTGTACATGTGAGCATTTTCCTGGGGAGGTTCCATCGCGTTCATCACAGCCTCAAAGATGCAGGATCCAGAAAGCCTTTAAACACCCCGCACGCCTGTTCCAGCTCGAACATCCTCCCAAACGCAAGTGGTAAAGGCTCGGAAATCGCTGTGAGGCCGCATCATCACGGGCTGGAGGTCACGGCCACACTCGATGGGAGACGGGGGGACCTCAGCCAGCGTCTGGCGGCCAGCCGATCCGTCCCAGGGACAGGCCTGAAGGAAGGTGGTCACTGGGTGGAGTAGTGGACAGCTCCTGCGCGCTCTCCTCCTGCGAGCTGAGGGTGTCCAGGCGTGTCAGTCAGAACAGCAGCTGCTGCGCTGGGCTTGGCTAAGTCAGAGCAGGTCCTGACAAGGAGGCCCTGTCCCCCAGCAAACTGCTGAGCCTGAAGCCGGAGAGGCCGCGGCAGGGGAGGGGCAGAGAGCTCAGAACACCCCAGCCTTCAGGTCCCCCAGGGGGCCCTGCTCAGGAGCCGCCTGCAGCCAAACCGATACCCCCGGATACACCTCCCTGCTGGGGAGAAGGCGGGCGCCAGCTTTAGCCCGGGGCTGGTCAGGCACCCGCCCACGGCATAGACCTCATGTCCCGTCACGCCGCTAAGTCACGTCAAGGCCAAAGTTTCCCGAGCACTTTTTTCCTCTTTTTTTGGCAATCTCGTTTGGTTGGTTGGTGGTGTTTTAAAAGTTGCTTTTTCTCTCCCACACCCCCCTCCCCCATCACCCAGCCTTGCTCTCGCGTTTCACAGCTGAGCGTTGACCTGGATGCGTTTTGAGTGAAGTGAGCGAGTCGCCGTCCTCAGCCTCGGCTGCGTCTTATTTATTGTTGGACGTTTGCAATGATCTGAATCACAGTGAATTAAAAAAGAGCTATTTTATCGTTTGAGGGTGTGTTGCTTTTCTAGGAGGGCCGGGCCCTCACGCTGCCCTTCACAGTTCCACTCGGCAGGTATTTCAGCCCTAAAGAGATGAAGGACCGGGGATTCCCCCGACCTCCCTGAACCTCAGCGGTTTCATCAGGGAAATGGGGCCGCAGTGCCAGCTGTCCGAGGGGGTGAGGTCAGGAGGAAAAGCCTGTCTGGAGGCCGGGGGAGACGCATGCCAGCGCTGAATGTTCGCCGAGGAGGCCTGGCGGGGGTTGAAGCTGACAGATTGCGAGGGGCCCCTTCTGTGGAGCCGGGCGCCTTTGCTCAGCCACCCCAGGTACAGGGAGGGAAGAGGCAGGCGGGGAGGAGATGAAGAGCCTAGAAGGGGACAGGCTGAAGGGAGGGAGCACAAGGCAATGAAAGCTGGTGGGGACGGAGGGGGGACAGGCGGGAGCTGGTTGCTGGGGGACAGAGCAGAGCTGGAGACCAGTGCTGTGGATGTCAGGACAAGGGACATTCACAGAAGCCGCTCAGAGCTGGGAAACTGGGCACAAGGTGTCTGAATGCGTAGCCTTCAGGATGGGGTTGTTCCAGGTGATGGAGAGAAGGCGGAGGGAGGAAGTAGGAAGGGCAGGTGCTGTATGTGAGCTCCACGTGTAACTAAAGTCCCAGGATAAGGGCACGCGTTGGTTGCAAACACCCTGGCTCGATGAACAAAGTCTGCCAGGGGAGGGGGAAGGTGCTGCAAGGTGCTGGGGACCTTGGGGAGAAGCTGAAGTACTATAGGCAGATGGACGGTGCAGCCAAGACAAACTGGTGGGGAGGAGCGTGAAGTCCAGAAACATCAGTGGGCGCCCACAGAGACACGGTCCTCACCCAGACATCCCGGCGGGGGCTGGACAAGGAGTGCCATAGGTGTACCTGCCCCAGGTGCCTCTCAGCAGCCCCTCTGATGCCACCACCTGGCACAGGTCCTGGCACCCAGACGACCTTAAGCAAAGGGTCGTGATTGCTATCAGCCCATTGGGCGCATCCTTGCTGGGGCTTTCGTGTAGAACCCTTAGCTGCGGATGTTGAAAGCCCCGAAGGCACCTTCAGATCCATGGGTGTCCAAGTTCAACTTCCCGGGGCCCCATGGATTCCTAGACCTCCTGCCCCTTGTGTTTTGTAGCAGTGGGACTGGCTTCCTGGAACTTGGTCAAGGCAGGGAGGTATCGTAGATTTGTGGATTGCCCCGGGGCCCCATGGATTCCTAGACCTGCTCCTCGTGTTTTGTAGCGGTGGGGCTGGCTTCCTGGAACTTGGTCAAGGCAGGGAGGTATCGTAGATTTGTGGATTGCCGGAAGATTCCCGCCCTTTCTGAGTCCCTCACCCCCACCCCCAGGAGAGGGCGCGGCTGGAAGCCAGGCACCCCCAGGGATCCAGCCGGGATCCAGACCTGGGCCTTCCCGTGAAGGGAGTGATGGTCCCTGGTTTGTCTGCCTCGTGGGAATGTGTGGAAACGAACATACTTGACGTCCACATACATTTCATTGGACACATAGGTACCCAGGGCCCCTGGGGCCGAGGATGCACAGAGATGGATGAGCCAAGGGAGGTCTCTGCTGTCAGTCACCGGCTAATTGAGGGGCAGGAGCCAGTGGCAACACCGTGAAAGGTGGAGACGATCTATAATGACCACGGCTCCCCTTGCACGCCACCCACTGGACCAAGCGTTTCGCCTCCGTTACGCTCACTGAATCCTGCAGCCGTTCTGGCGAGAGGAGAACCTGCTGAAGACACCGTGCCTCAGGGGGTGAACTAACCGGGAGCGAGGGGTGCAGCCAGGACTCCCACAGCAAGCTGCTGAGCCCAGGAGCGCCGGGTCGGGGTTAACCACCTCCGTTCCCCTCAGAGCCGGGGACCCTGAGTTCCGGGCGTTGCTCCCAACCCCAGCCCTTTGGTGATGATGCGCTCCCAAGGGCTGCTGGGCTGTTCCTCATGGCGGAGCCCAGAGCTGCTGAAACCTTCCCTTCTGCCCCTGGCCAAGAGCACAGACCAGGCGTCCTACTGACGGTGGCCACCAGGGGGCGCAGTGCACCCACCCTCGGCCCATTAGTTTCCACCCGGGGTTTATGGGGACCCAGCAAGCTTTTGAAAACCACGTGAGAAACACACCCCCAGGCATAAGGCCAGAACTTAACGAGGGGTGGCATTCGGTGTTGCAGAGTCCAACACCCTACAGATAAGGGGATGGCTGCCCCTCGGCCCAGAAAACTGGGTCAAGGGAGAAAGTCTGACCCAAGTGGGCAAAGGCGAGAACCCCGAGCAAGTGCACTGGCTGAGGCCTCCACGGGCCGCGGGCCGCGCAGCAAGGCCGGCCCGACCGTGGAATGTCCCTGGCTTCCCACTCCCACCGCAAAAACATCCTGCTGAGGGAACGAGCCAGACCCCAGGGGTCCACAGAGCACGATGCCGTCATGAGAACACCCGTAACTGGAAGGCGCACAGGGGCAGAAAGCAGTTGGTGGCCGCACAGGAGGAACGGCTCAGGTCATATGGAAATGTTCCAGAACCAGGGGGAGGGGTGGTTGCACCGCATTGTGAAAAGTTGACATACCACGGAACGGCACGCTTGAGAATGGTCCATGACGTGTTGCGTGGATTTTACCTAAATCTAAAAATGTGTGTGTGTGTGTGATTTCAGAGAGGAAGGGAGAGAGATAGAAACATCAATGATGAGAGAGAATCATCGACCCATTGCCTCCTGCACGCCCCCAACTGGGCATGTGCCTCGATGGGGAATCGAACCTTTCTCGGGTCAATGCTCAATATCTGAGCCACACTCCGGGCTAAAAGTGTTTTAAAATAAATAAAACAGTCATACGTACAAAATGTTCCTTGTAAATGTGCTCATTTGATGGAGTGAGCCTGTGAGGTGGGCTGACTGTGTGCTGTGGGCGTGGAAACGAGGCTTTGAGAGACCTGGGCAGAGCCTCCGGGGTCCTGGGAGCAGGAGGAAGAGCAGACCAGCTGCCCTCCATGGCTGGGCTGGGGAGGGACGAGAGACCGTCTGGGCCTGGTCTCTGGTCCAACAGGCCGGGGTCCCCCTGCAGTCTGGATGGTGGGTCACATGGCCCCCAGCAGCCAGGCCTTGGGGCAGAAAGGTAGGGAAGGAGAGAGGGGGGTGAGGGGGAGGGAGGATCAGGACCAGGAACAATGAGAGAGAAACGCTGAGCCCTTCCTTTGTCCGCTGGCCTGCGGGGGTTTCATTTGAGTTTTCTAAAGAAATCGGAGCCCATAGAATTGTTCCCGAAATAGAGCCCAGATTGCAAGGAACGTCCTGGAAATCAGACTTCCTGTTACCGGATCGAGCTTCCCTCTAGCAGCTGACCTTTCCGGATAAAGGTGGAACATTCAGGCGCGGCACCTCGGTCATTGTCTGGGAGGCAGTGGGAGCCCGTAGTCCTGACGCACAGAGGCGGAGAGGCTGAGCCTGGAGAAAGCAGAGCCCTGGGGGATGCTGAGGTCCAATTCTTCCCGGGGGTGCGGGGGGGCGGGGCAGCCCCTGGGAGACCAAGCCCAGCCCCCTCCCTGACCTGCAGCTCTTCTGAGCCCCTGGCGAGAGGGTTGCCTCCTTTTCCACTTGGGCACCAGCTGGCAGTACCAGGACAGGAGCAGGCTGCTGGGCCGCTGGGAAATCATGGCCGCCTGCTCAGCCTTGGCTGGAGGATCCGTCACCCCTCCCTCCTCGCACCCCCACCCCCTGTCTCGTCATGCTTCCAGTGGCCCCAGCATGGCCATCTGCCCCTCTTTGCTTCCCTACCCGCCTCACTCCCTGGAGAGACACAGAGGTCTCCTGTGTTCTCTGTGCCCAGCACAGTGCCTGGCAGAGGCAGTGTTGCATGTTGGGAGGAAAGAACTGATGGATGTAATGCCTTCAGGAGAGAGAGGGTGACAAGGCATTGTAGGTGCAGGGTTCCTTTGCCAAAGTGTGTGCACCCAGATCAAGCTGGCTGCCTTCCAGCCCAACACTGATGAGCTGATGTTATCTGTGGTTCTGACTTCTGTCCTCTGCCCACCTGCCCACAAGGCCAACGTGCCTCCTCCTGAGGTAGCAAAGGCCTGACCCTGCCACATGCGTCCTGGGTGGATTTGGGCAAATTTCTTCATGTCTCCAAACCTCAATGTCCTCATCTGTAAAATGTGGACAAGAACGGCTTCTTCCTAGTAGTTTAGTTAAGGATTGAAGGACACGATGAAAATGAATTGCTCAACACCAGTGCCACACACATGGTGAGGGGCTAAGAGCTGGTTAAAGATGTTTAGTATCTATATATATAAAAGCCTAAGTGACCGTTCGACTGTTCAACCAGTAGCTATGATGTACACTGACCACCAGGGGGTAGATGCTCAATGTACAGGCATGGAAACATGGAACAGACTGATGAATCTCAGAGGAAGGGGAGAGAGGGAGGGAGGGAAGAGATTAACCAAAGATCTTATATGCATATTAGAGGCCCGGTGCATGGATTCGTGCACTGGTGCACTGGTGGGGTCCCTCGGCCTGGCCTGCGTGGATCAGGCCAAAACTGGCAGTCTGACATCCCTCACAGGGTCCTGGATTGCAAGAGGGTGCAGGCCAGGCTGAGGGATCCCACCAGTGCACGAATCTGTGCACTGGACCTCCAGTTAGTAAATAAAAATACAGGAAGCTGAGTTAAATTTGCATTTCAGATAGATGGCAAATTATTTTTTAGTACAAATAGTCCCAAATATTGCATGGCACGTGCATACACACACACACACACACACACACACACACAGGTTTGTTGTTTATCTGAATACAAACATAACTGGCTGTCCCGTATTTGACCTGGCAACCCTACAGGTAAGTCTTCTCGACACTTCTGACACCATTGCTCCCAATTCTCTATTCAATGTCCTCTGTTAAACTTCCTGGTTGGGCGGGGTCTTCTGTTGCTGGATCCTGCCTGATACAGACGCGGGGTCCGACATGAGCCTGTTCGTGGAATCC